TCAGTGATCCTGCCAGAGATCATCATGCCTCCCGTTCTTCTCGCCATGTGCTTGAGAGAAAACTAAAAAGTGGAAAACATAAAACTAAGGAAGTTAAAACTATTTGTAAATTTTTTAATCGAAAGATCTAGTATTTTTTTTTTGGCTCATATACAAACATATAAATGTAAACATTTTGATTAGACACCTAGTCTGTGGCATTAAAAATGTTTCACATTAATTAAATGTTTTGGGGAAGTATTGTATTATAATAGCATCTTTGTATCTGAATTAAATTGATAGGGACTCTTTGAACAATAGCATGAAGCATGGTTTTGTTTTAGATTAAAAAGCTCAGATATACTGTGTACCCACACAAATTAAAGCTTAAAACAAACAAACAAAAAAATAAACTGCAGAAGATACCAATGCTTTCTGGAATACAAATGTCTAGTTAAAGTTACAAACTGGAAATGCTTGTTAAAATAGTGATTACTGACAATTCTTGTATGCTATAAAATTTAAGAACAAATGCTTTAATAACAAGAAGGGCATTTTCTGATAAAATGAGGTTAAACAAAACATTTGACAAGAAGTAATATCAAAAATCACAAGTCAGAGTGTGTTTCTTATTTGGGTAGGCTGTCTTTTTGGTGGGATTTTTATAATAGCTCAGAGACGAAGGGTCTCTCAATAATGGATATGCTTTCTATTACAAATACTGTGCTCAATAATAAAGCATTTCTGTTTCATTTACGTTTTCCCCCATAAAGCAGTCAAGTGAAAGATTAATTTACCTGGAACGCCCAATCACCCATTAAAGGAAGTCCAAAGTTACAAAAAAATATGAGTTAATGAGTTTTCAGAGCTAGTTGTATCAGTATTACTGCGAAGCCATAAATAGCACGATAAGATTGCCAATAATGGGCTCTTACAGAGTGGCCAGTGTAGCAACACTGAAGAGCACTGGTTTCCCAGGCATTTCCTGGGAACGTGAACGGAATGAGCACCGGGGTGACCTTTACGCAAAGGCTGGGTGACGAGTGTCAGTACATGAACTACAAATGGGAAGATCAGAGAAAATACTTCAAAGAATGAAGTCACTTCCAGTGTAGCTTTAATTATCTGCTTCAAAATTGCAGCACAAAGATGAGCAGGTTGAGGATAAGAGCAGAAGGTAAACTAGCTTGGTAAATAAGGGATTCGAAATACAGGAGTCTAAGAGGCAGCTGAAAACAATGAGGGTAGGATCTGCAAAGGCTGCTGAGAACCATCAAAAGACACAACGGGGAAGGTATTGCTGCATGTTTACCAGACTTCTCAGGGGAATAAGGGAGGGCAATGGAAGGCAGTTTGGATTGGGAAACACAAGACACAGTATTTTTCGCCTGCTCTGTCTTGAGGAGACCCTGATACAATGGGCAAAGTAAACAGGTTCTTTTTCAAAAGAAATGGTTGAGCTCAGGGAGAGGAGCATCACACACTGGCGGCAGTCAGTCGGGGGGGTGGGGAGAGACAGCGGGGAGTGGGGAGGGAGGGGAGGGTGGGGAGGGATAACATGGGGAGAAATGCCAGATATAGTATGCACCTAAAGTGAAATAAATAAATTAAAACACACAAACACACACACACACACACACACACACACACACACACAACTTATAGTTATCTGAAAAAAAGAAAAAAAAAAAGAAAAAGAAATGGTTGAGCTAAATGTTATCTAAGGTCCCTTTGGCAGATAATGGTATATTCTAAACCATGCATTAGTTTCACAAAGTGACTGTCACTGTTCCTTAAACATCACCTTTTAATTAATAGTTATTTGTTTATCTCATTGTCTTTGTATGTTCACATAATGAACTATCAGGAGGATTAATCAAGTTGAAATAAATTCACAGACAAATTAATTTTTGACATTATTTTCTCAGTTAACTCCTCTTAGTAATACAGCCATCTTAATTTATATCTCATTTATCTCACACTTTTATAAGCAAGAGCTTCTTTACAAATTATACCTATTTTCATATAAGCAAAAAATGTATAAAACTCAACTGAGAGTATACATATTAAAATAATATGTGCTTTTCATTCTGGAAATGCAGTACGGAGAAAGAGTAACTTTAGATAGCACTGATGTTGACTGGGCTGGTACTTGCCCAAGGCTCTAGATTGGTGGAAAAGAAAAACATGATTCAGAATATTTTTATGTTTGGCATGTATTCCCAAAGCATCCAAATACCCATTGTTGAATGTTAGTAAAATTTTCATAGTGAAGGAAAAATAAATGGTTTGAGATTCTGATTAGTTTCAAATTCTCTTGCTGTGCATCAGCTTGGAGCAAAAAATTGAAATTTAGAGATAGACACATAAAAGAAATCTGTGGGTTTTTTTTTTTTTTTTTGAGACCAGTAACATATAGCAAATAAGACTATTTAACTCTGAAAATGAATCATTATTTTAATAGAAAAGCCAATTGACTGAGAGCTGCTTTTTGCTTCTAAAAAATGATGGCAACATAATCCTACCCATGAGTCAGCAGTGAGAGAATAGGAGGGAGGTTTGGAAGTCAAGTTTTTTATGTGGTTCTCCATTATTTTTGTTGTCTGTACAGATGGATCTCTTAAAACATCAGAGCAGGACCCTGTGCCTTGTTACAAGTTTCCTGTTATCTTAAAAACCAAGATTCTGCCATTGCCTAAAATTAAAATATGAAAGACATATTTCTTTGGTGAATAGGTACTTTTTTTGGCCCAAAAGCTCCTTTTAAATCAAACTACTCTTATAAAAGGTAGCATATTATGGCAGTATTAATCATTACTACCTTTTCAGAGATCGATTAAAAAATGCTTATAAATTTAAGAATGAGATGGTACAAAGGATAGGTATATTTGATCTGGAAAGGAGTAAGCTGGAGCCTGGCTTCCCTGAAACCTTGTCCTGTTTACCTCAAGGGAAGCATTAAATATTTCTTGCATTTTTCTCGTCGCCTCTTGCATGTGACTATATTATAATGTTAAATATACTACATAACATATCTATTTTTATTTCTGTATCTCTCGCATTAAAATTGGTGCCCTCAAAGATGGAACCCATGCCTTCATACCTCTTCCCATTCCTCAAATTCTAGCTCTGTTACTAGCAAGGGGAACACAGGCAGTAATGGCTTATTAAATCTAAGCCATTACATTTATTTGAAAAATTTTAACACAAAACTCAAATATCTGGAGTAAAATAATTTCACTCCTTTCTAAGGTCAGCGATAAAGCTAATAAATTTAGTATGAGGATGGCAGGATAAGGCTTTGTCATAATCTGACTTTGGTTTCTAAGATATGTTCCCAAACTGTAGTCCTCCAAGTCTACGGGTAATAGTTTATGGGAGAGAATATAACTGCATCTCCTAATCACCTCTTTGTAACATTTACTTGCCAGTCAATTTCTCTTTAGAATTATAGTCGTTACTGAGATGAGAGGGAGATCCATGCCACTGTCAGTGGGAGAAAGCTCCATTTGGTGCTGTAACAATGCCTGGTGGGCAATGAAGTTGTGAAGTGGGAAGGATCTCTTAGGGCTTAGCAGTCACAATCCATGTTAAAGAAAACTGAAAACAAATTAATATTTGGGGGGTTTTAATTAGTATCGAATATTACTTGGTGATTCTAAAGTAACAACATTTTAAAATACTTCCAAAGCAATGTCTCTGAGAAGATCAAAGTGACTAATGAACATGAGCGTGTTAATTCCCAAAACATCACTATGAGAACTTTCAAAAATAGAACACAAAGTGAGAAAGGCGTGAAGAATGACTTGTCTTATGTCAATGGTATGGCTGGACCAAAAGGTTAACATGATGTATCTTCTGCTGCAATTTCTTGAAACCCGAATTTCCAAAATAAAGAAAGAGAAATATCATCTTCCAGTTTACCAGGAGCATGGTTCTGAGCAGTTCTCTCTCTCTCTCACTCTCTCTCCATATATATATATATATATATATATACAGACATACATACGTATATATTATAACATTAAATATACTACATAACATATCTATTTTTATTTCTGTATCTCTCACATTAAAATTGGTGCCCTCAAAGATGGAACACATGCCTTTGTACCTTTTCCCACTCCTCAAATTCTAGCTTGATTGCTGGCAAGGGGAACACAGGAAGTTGCTTATTAAATCTAAGCCATTACATTTATTCTAAAACTTTTAACATGAAAGTCAAATATCTGGAGTGAATATATATATGTCTCTCTCTCTCTCTCTCTCTACATATATATGTATTAGATGCCTAACTTCTTGGCATCTAATATGATAGGGAGTAGATGTAACATGTTGAGTAATTAAAATATTCTGCAATCACAGCTGACAGTTGGCACAGCATATTTAAGTTATAATATTTAGTCAATTATTTAATTGGGAATTCTTATCAAGCATAAAATATTCTGTGCAGGGGCTTATGTTAGGCACAAGGAATTTGAGATCACCAAACACAGACGCCCTGCCCTCATGGAACTTATAATCCAGAGCGGGAAACAGACAATGAGGACGCAATGCCACAAATAACCTGCTATCACATTCTGAAAAGACCTAGAAGCCAAGGTACTAAGACAGAGTATGCTAGTTCCCCAGCCTTGACTAGTGGAACTCAGGGAGGGCTGTGTGAAGAGCAGGACCTAATTAGTTGTTACTAATTACTGCAGTAATTAGTTATGACTTGAAGATTAACCAGCATCTTCTGCACTGTAGGCTCACGTTAGCGTAGTTTCATTTGATTCAGGCCAGAAATAGACTTTCTGTCTAAATAGCAGTGACTGCCCTCAATGCAGGAAATGCATTTTTGAAGAAGTCTTAGTTCAGCAGACACTGCCTTAGTCGTGGTAGGTGTGCTATAAACGTTCATGACATGCAATCGGTAAGAACAAAAAGGCTAAAGATCTGAACACCTTCGATAAAAAATACAAATATATTCAAATACACAGTTTTTTAAAAAGAGTAATACTAACATGCTGTGTTCTTACCCCTATTGTTCCAAAACTTTCTGGCTTTCTCCTCATCTTTTTCTTGCACAAGTGTGTCCAGATCCATTTGATCAGGTACCAGAGAGACTTGGGGCTTGGGATGACATTGAAGGGAGTAGGCAGAGTACCTCCTTCTTCAAAATAACTCATCCAAAGCTTTGTTCGTGCAAATTTCCATTCTATATCTGCATGGTCCTGAAGAGGAGAACATGACAACTGATGACAGGTTTCTGAATTAACAAGGTACCATAAACCTCACAGAGAGCCTATAACCTGACATCAAGTGGCTCTTGAACATTAATTAAATTGCTTATAAAACCACCACTGACTCCCAGAGATAGTCATGTAAACATTTCAGACGATGGCTTAACCTAGAGCAGTAGCAGCTCCTGTGTCACTTTCTATCCTTGCTTCTTCAATGAAACAGACATCTAAAATACTTCCATGTTAAAAAGACTGCAGTAATTAGTTATGACTTGAAGATTAACCAGCATCTTCTGCACTGTAGGCTCACGTTAGCATAGTTTCATTTGATTCAGGCCAGAAATAGACTTTCTGTCTTAACCAAAGCCTTGTACTCCTGCTTAGATTAATGCTACCTCCACAGATGTCATGGCTTAGCCTTCATTGTTGACAGGAAAAGTCTTATTGGATATGTTTTCATGTGAATATTATTGTCTACTTTCAGCCAACAGAGATAAACTCAGCAAGAAGTTCCTCTAACAAATGTAGAATTGGGCCTCTCTGACACACCACTGACTCTTGACCTAACTTTGGACAGATTTCACCAGAGAGGATCATGGCCAGTGGTTGCTCACAAGCCTGAGTCTATTCCCTTCATCAGGTATTACTCACTCCACTTTATTAATCTCCTGTGGAAACTTTGGAGCATTTGTGGCAATTAGATCTGGGGCAGCCAGTCTCTTCTTAATTTAGCCATAAATCTGATTTAAGCAGAAGATCTGAGAAGTAGGAGGTGGTAGAAACTGGACATACATTCATTTTAAGAATTCAGAATAGTGCGTAGTAACCAGTTAATATCATATACATGAACTCATATTTTAGAGTAGGAGAATAATCTTCAATTATGCTTCATTTTGATATTCTTAAATTGCTGTGTGCTGATAAATGCATAAGTTATACATACATTTCTATTCTGCACAACGTGGGTTTTAATCCAGATACCAGACATATTGTGCTTTGAATAGGAATCACCATACCTAGAAAATGCATGGCCTTATTGTTGGTAAGCAAATGTCTGATAATATGGGTAGATCCACATAAACGGGAGCACAGAAGCTGCAGTTTCCCTTCTCTTCCTTTCCTTCCTGATTTCTCCCTCCTTTCCTTTCTCTTTCTTTCTAAACAAGATTATAGGTTCTTGCTGACTATGCTGCATTGGTGAAGAGAATTGCATATATTGTTTCCTGCAGGCATGGAGAATGGGACTCAGTAGATTTGGCTCAAAGAAATTAAAAGGCAATCATTCAGATAAAGCATTGGCCTGTGAATAGTGCCTTCTTATTCTCTGATTCTCAGGGAGCCACAAATTATGTTATCTTATTGCAATCACTAAGCAAGTGCTCTCTTTGTTCATGATTTAGGATTTCAAGAGGGTCTATCACATAGTCTATGGTGTTAGAAAATCTGGAGATAAAATGTTCTAAGCTGTTGATGACTAGATTCATCTTCCACTACTCACCTTCTAACTCCTAGTCAACATTTGAAACTCGGCTTAAGGACCCTCTCTTCAGAGGCCTGCTCTGCCTCCCGTGAGTCCTGAGCTGCCTCCTACCTCCAACCCAGTCATGGTCCCCTCTTCCATCCTTTCATGACATCCTCAAATTTCTTTTCTCAATATTGAAATAATTTATTGATTTAAAAATCTCTACTATATTATTTTTTGTTGAAAACAGGGACTTTTTAATTCTTTGTATCCTCAAAATGAAACATATGTCTGGTCTATAGTAGGTGAGCAATAAATATTTCATCAATGAACAAATGAGTGAATGGAAAGCAGCCTTTAGTCAGGGACTACATAACTGCTTCTGCCTTTCAACAGTTAAATGTTCTTCTTTTTTCATGCTTTACCTACGGCTCTGAGCTACAGTTAGCAAGACAAGAAAAAAAAAAAGAAAGAAAGAAAAAAAGGAAAACCTCAGAGTAAAATCTGCTGTTCTGAATTCTGGGACAGGTGAAAGCAAATGCTTGGTATGTTCATGCCCCAAGGAGTCTTCATGCATGAAGTCCTGGGAACCACACCTGTCTCAGGTTCACAATGCCTGTTCTTCCCTCCACAGTCTTAGGGTTTAGGCTAAGTAGAAATAGAGGTTTGAAGATGATTCTCATCTCTGTAATGAAGTTACCTAGAAAAGCACACCTCACAAAGAAGCAATAAGAAAATGTCATAATATTCGTAAATTGTTTTTTCTTCTAGATGAAATTGGAACATTTAATGTTTTAAAAGATCCAAATTGCTGGCAGCTTCCTTGTATCTAGCTTGATAATTAGAGGCCTTCTAATTTTTTGTTGTTGTTGTTTCTGATGTTCTGGAAAACAGAGCCCACATTTTGGAAAGGTGTTATTAGGAGAATATAGAACTTCTGACACAAAAATTTAGAGACTATAAAAATTTCCGATCATAAGATGCTTAAATGAAGATCAAAGTATGCATAAATTCGGATATTTACCCCCCAATCCCAGGACCTACATTTTCCAAAGGATTCATTTCTGCATTTGGAATACTTTAATCTGTGAATCGATAAAGAAAAACCATCTATTCTCACATTCTATGCAGTTTTTCATCCGTGATGAGTGTCTCATGAGAAAAATTTGCATCCCAAAAGGCAGCTGCAGTAAAATTCAGAGTGTTGCTTGACAAAAAACCAGTAATAACACTTCAGAGGTTTAACCACAGATTCAAAGGTACAATATAAATGTAGTTATTTATGAAGAAAATTGGAAAACGACAATTATGCTTATCAAATGCTACTGGTCTAAGGTATAAATATGAAAGACTTAACTATATTTCATTCCACTAAGAGCTCTGCTTTGCTGCTATTGCTTGTGGTCATAGACGTACATCACTAGTGTATAAGTTCAAGCAGATCAGTTGAAGTCTTTCTTGTGCGTTGCCATATTTCTGGTGTCCAGAACAGTACTGGGCAACACAGTATGCACCCAGTAAGTATGTGTTGAATTAACAAATAAATAACTTATGCTAAGTTGCTTAGGTTCCAAAGTTTCAAAAAAACATGTATTGTGTAATATCCTACAGAACTTAACATTGCTTCTGTTAATATGTTGCTTTCCCTGAGCTTTAAGAAACTGAAAATCCTGTGGCTTCTTCCCTTTCCAGACTCCTCTCAGGGTTATCTTTTGTGTCTTGCCCTATAGTTTGACTTTGCTTATATTAGGATGGTAGGTTAAACGGACAGACAGGAGTCAAAGCCTATTGGTCACTGCACAGAGATCAGCAGCTTGTTTGTAAGTCAGACCTCACCTACTACTTCCCATAGCCAGTGACTGCCTGGTAAGATGGATTTGGTTTATCTCTGTAATCACGTGTAACACGACAAACTTAGATTAATTTATAGCCACATATAGTGTGAAACTTCTCAGAAATGTCAAATAAACCATTTATAATTTTTATCTGTCTCATCAATAGCCAATTATAGATTTTACTTCCTATGATAAGAAAATGGAGTATAGCTAAGAACAACACATTTGAGGGGAAATAGTGAATTAAAATAAAGCTGGTCAACTTACAGCAATCAGTTGGTAAGAATTATTCATCATAGCTATTAACATGTTGAGTAGAACAACCAGAGAGATGACATTATATGTCCCAAACATGGTGGCACCAACAAACTCAGTAAATTCATGCTGTGCTTTGACATTGGTCACATATAAATTGATGAGCCCAAATATTGACCAAAACAGGGACTGGAGTGTCTCAAATAACCTGAAATAAAGATAAAATGATGCTAATAGCTAATAGAATCATTATACGTAAGATATAGCAACAAAGCATGGCACTATTATGGATATATAATTAAACATTAATATCAACAGTAAAATAACCTTTTAGGGCAATCACGAAATTAAACAATAAAAAGAGTAAAAGAAAATTGTTTTTTTTTTTTCAAACTAGTAGAAATGGTGTACTTAAATTTCCCAAGAGCTTTGAAAGCTAAATTTAGTTTCCTGGGGCAGAGAGAAGCAAATGTGGCCCAGAGCCTGTTTCTGTGTGGCTACAGAGTTAAGAATGGTTTTTACTTTCTCAAATGGTTGGGACAAAAATCAAAAGAGTGATATTTTGTGACATGAAAACTATGTAAAATTCACATCTCCATATCCATAAATAAAATTTTATTGAAACACATCCATTCTCATTCATTTATGCATTCCCTATGGCTTCTTTTGTGCTAAAATGGCAGAATAAAGTACTTACAACAGAGAACATATGGCTGAGAAAACCTAAAATATTTACTATCTGCTCCTTTTCATAGAATGTTTGTCGATCTCTGTCCTAGGGCACTAAGTGACAGCTAATAAATGATAGATCCCAAATTTTAGGCTTTAAAAAGTCTGCTCTTTAATTGATTTTGCTTTGGTTGTAGGAGAATTAAGAACATTATCATTATTACAGATTTCCATGTTTACAACTAAAATTGCACATAATGCATCTTGTAAGATGGCAAAGAGTCTCAGATGCTTAGATAATAAAATTTGATTGTTTTTTGAATTTCAAGCAACATTTTATTTATTCTAGCCAATGAATGAACGCTGGCTGTTTCTTTCTTTCTTTCTTTCTTTTTTTTTTTTTTTGTGAGCCAGAGTCTTGCTCTGTTGCCCAGGCTGGAGTGCAGTGGTGTGATCTTGGCTCACTGCAACCTCTGCCTCACACGTTCAAGTGATTCTCCTGCCTCAGCCTTCTGAGTAGCTGGGATTACAGGTGTGCACCACAACACCTGGCTAACTTTTGTATTTTTAGTAGAGACAGGGTTTCACCATGTTGGTCAGGCTGGTCTTGAACTCCTGAAGTCAGGTGATCTGCCAAGTAGTCAACTTACTCCAAAGAATGAGATAAGCTGAGGAGTATATAAACCCAAATGCAGAACTGTTTGTTTCAAAGGGATCATAATAATCCATTAGTATAATGTAATAAAATGATGATAGAGCTTTCATACTCCTTGATGAATTGTTAAAATGAGACTGTATTTAAATTACAAAAATAAAAACCTTCTCATACTGCACATGATGAATAAGGAGGTAGGATTTCTATCTGTAGGCAGATTAGCATTAGATTGGAATGGTGTTGCAGAACCAAGCCAATTATGATTTCTGGCAACTCCCAGCCCCAGTGACATTGTTCTCTCTGTATGCCCTTTTATGGAAAGGTGGTTCTTGTGTAAGACTCTGGAGCTCCTCACCCAATACCTCCATGGCTTAAGTCAGTCATGGTCAAGTGACTCAAGGAGAGACAATTCATATAAGGCCAGTGGCCTGTGGCAAAAATGATCAGAATTCCCCTCTGGAGAAGTTTGCCTTAAAAATATCAAGATAATTGCCCAAAGGGGCTGAGATGACAGGGGTTATGATGTGGAGTCAGAATCACTGAAATGATGGGATGCCAAAGGTTTGAGAGCACAAACTAAGCAGCAGAGAATTGAGGATGAATAAGCCAGGCAATAAGTAAACTCAGAATATAGATGAAGTCGATGACTCACCTTAATGCTGATACACACAGTAACAATCCCATAGCCCAGCATTATGTCAATGCCTGCTCTTCCTAAAACTAGGGCTTGCTCTAGGTTCCGCCCTTGCAAAGATAAACCCTTACTCAGAAGACTGAAGGGCTATAATTCTGTACATAATTTTTATGACAAAATGCCAGTTACTTGAAATAAGCCTTGAATTCTTGTGCATATAACCAGGAGATTCTAATTAAATATGCCTTAGTTGGCATTCAGGATGTAAATTGCTTTTTTAAAAAGGTGAAAAAAATTTTTAATTGAGCAACTAATTTTTAGATATAAATGTAACTGTTTATTTTCTAGAGGTTTTGAACGATGGAACAACAGATTGTTGTGAAGTAAAAGGGCACTGATCTGATTAACTTTAGCCAGACTGTGATTCTTAAATGGAATGCTGTGCATTCTGCGAGGAAGTGGTCACGTATTCTTAAAGGAAAACCCCGATGCCAGATTCCAACAACAACAGAGAGAATTAAATTGACTCATTGCTCCTAGATAAAGGCCACTAAAGCTACCCTTTGAAAATTTCTCAGGAAAAAGTAAATTTAGCTCATGGCCATGAATTCTTTATTTTTAGTAACTTTAAAGACAAGTTCTAAAATTAATCATGGTGTCCTTTGGATTTAATGTGAATTAACTGTATTCTTTCTTCCCTAATGGTGTATATTCTCACAGTGAGTATACACATAAAAATCAGATGGTTTTTTTCCTGACATGAATAGCAATTTAAGGAAAGTTATAAGTTAAATATTACAAGTTATATAATAAATCATATAAAATGTTACCACACAAATCCCGTAACAGTTTCTTTTTTAAATAAAAACGATGCAGAATAAATGGCTCATTATTTTGAATAGTATGTATTTGCTTCTGTCTACATAATACCTACTAATTTTAGGGAATACTAATAACATTAATAAACATTTTGGCAAATTATTTATTGATGTTTAAAAAAATTAAAGGGGAAAATTCTAAATAAAGTGGCATTTCATGATTACATATGGATTCTTTCTTTTTTTAATTTTCCTTCTTTCAGTGGAATAAGTCAGTGGTGAGATTTAAAGACTAGTTCCACTCAGCTAAAATATATTTACTTCTCAGAGGAATTAAGACCTTGATCTTAAAGTATTTCTCAATGAATTGTTCAGATATTAGGTGGATTTAAAAAAAATCAATCTAGGTTAACATTTCAAAGCCATTGCTTCCAGAAATGTTTTTTATCATTAGTGATTCTTAAATCTATTGATACCAACATTGCCCATAAATTGAAGGATCATTACTTAAAGCATCACATTTTAGAATGCCTTTGTGTGACTAATAATTTTTCTTGTTCTGTGGTAAGATATGAACTAAAAACTCTCCAAGATAATGCCACAGTTTAATTAAGTGACATTTAGACAAAACCTGGGTTGAAGACTACATCTTGAAGGTCTGTGTGGGTGAACTGAGGTCCTTCCTGCCTTCCTAATGATAACATTTTGTCTGTTGCTCTGAATATATTCCTCAACAGCTACTTTATAAAATTAGCTTGTTTCCCTGATTGCATATTCACAGCCAGAAAAATTGAACGTGTAAAAAAGTAATGTATTCCACAGTTGAAGGTTTCTTCTATCCCATGGGACTAAAACAATGAGCAAACATAAATTAATACAAAATTCATCTGAATATTTTGTCTTTAGTTTATAAGCAAAAATGTAATATTAAAATAATATATGACTCCAACTGGCCAGTTCCAACCATTAGAAATATAGCTGCAACAAATATAAAAGGGCTTTGCTTAATGAGACAAAACCTGTCATAAAGCCTGTGCCCTTTTCTGCAGAAGTGAGTAACTTACCAGGGACTAATAGCTTAAAATTGCACATAGAATAGTTTCAACAACTAAGCATTCTGTGTCTTTTAATAGTATGTAGTTCTTCTCGGGATGAGAAGAACTACAATGAGAAAATGACTGGAAAGGAGAAGGAGGAAATGTCCATTCATTGGAGGGAAACTATATGAAGACACATAGAAGAACATGCATCATAGGCTGACACTGGGTGGTCACAGCCAGGGAGGAGACCAGAAAAGGCCTCCTGAAAAAGGTATAACCGAGGTAGGATTTGGGGAAAAAAATTGCCAAATGGAAGGGCAGAATAAGGACATTCTGGAATAAGAGAAGGAAATATTTGGAGATTTATATTTATAATCTATCAGGAGATATTGAAGAGTAAAGTGTTTCTGGTGGATTGAAAGATGAAACAAGAAAAGGAAGTGATAAAGAGGATGTTCATCTCCTTCAAATATCATGTTGAAATGTCATCCCTGAAGTTGAAAGTGGGCCTCAGAGGGATGTGCTCGAATAATGGGGGTGGATTTTGGGTTGCTCACAAAAGGTTTAGTGTCATTCTGGGGTGATTAGTGAGTTCTCACACTATTAGTTCTCACAAGAGCTTATTGTTGAAAAGACCCTGGTTCCTTCCTCTTTCCCCTCCCTTTCTTCCTTCCTCTTTACCCATGTGATGCCTGCTTCCCTTCACCTTGCAACATGAGTGGAAGCTTCCTGAGGCCCTTACCAGAAGCAGACGTTGATGCTGTGCTTTTTATGCAGTGTGCAGAACCACGAGCCAAATAAACCTCTTTTCTTTGTAAATTACCCAGTCTCGGGTATTTCTTCATAGCAACAAAAATGGACTAAGACAGGAGGCAGGGGACAGGCAGATCAATGAAGGACCTAAAATATCAAGCTAAAGAATGTGGCAGTATCCTGTAAGAAACGGGAAACCATTTTGACACTTTAAACAGGGGAGCATCAGATTTGGTTTAGAAAGATAATTCAAGAAGCATAAGGGAAGACATATGAAATAAGGCAGATACCAGGGGCAGGGGTACCTAGATTTGGGCATGAGTGGAGAGCAAGGGAAGAAAATGCCAAGATAATATTGACTGATCACATATGGAAGAGATGAGGAGAAGACAAGATCTAGAATACGATGTACATTTTTCATGTAAGTTTCTGTGTGGATTGTGGTGATGTTGGCTAAGAAAAGAAAAGGAGTTAAGCAGGAGGAAGAATATGTTTTAGAGAAACTGTTAAATTCTCTTTGATTGAATTTAAGTCTTCAGGAGACATGTAGAGAGAGGTGTCCAGTAGACAGTTGAATATATTGTGAAACCTGAGGATAGAAGTTGATGCTAGTAATATAAATATGGAAGTTATGTGTTAGACATATAGAGCCAAATCCAAAAGCATAGATGAGTTTTCACAGGGGTACTGTTAAGAAGGTCTCAGGTTAGTATGCCAAGACATGCCACTATTTAAAAGCAGTAATGAAAATAAAAAATTATCAGAGTGAAGTGAGAAAAGCTAGAGAAGCAGGATTTGAAGTGAGAAAAATAATAATACAGAAGTTAAAAGGGGACAGGATTTCCCAAATGGAAGTGTTAAACAGGGTAAAATGAAGCAGACATGATAAGTAAAATGTAAGCAGAAAAATGTCCATAGGTAGTAGTGATAAGAAGGCTCTAGATGATAAGTTTTAGAGCAGTTTCAGTGGAATGATGGAAAGAGAAGCCAAATTGTAATTGGATAAAGTCTGAGTGAGAGGTGAGGAAACAAGATGTCTTATGTAAGCCTCTTTTAGGGTTAGTTGGGCAAAGGAATGAGAGAAACAGAAGTAGTAGCTAATGGGCTGCAGTGAGCCAAGAGCGCACCATTGTACTGCTGGGCAACAGATCGAGATTTCGTTAAAAAAAAAAGAAAATGAAATGATTGAGGGAAGCTGAAAGAATTTTGTGTTTAAGATCCACAGTTGTATAAAATCTATTTCTGAAACTAATGAGGTATCAATGGCTAAGATTTAAAAATTATGTGCAAAAACAAAGATGATGAATTATTAAAATGAAGCTTTAAATATTGGGGCTAAGATAAAACAGATGTAGAATTAACACAACGAAAGCATTTTAGCTGTAAGTGATTTTGTTTATGTGAGATTATTGATTTTCTCTAACTTGAGAAATTACCATCCTCTCATAGGATACACAATTCTATGGCTCACGAATAACGTATGACTTTTAAAGTCATCTACAAAATGACAGTGTATTCACACATGCTTACGGTGCAGAGGAAAATCACTTCTCTTATTAATTCATCTGCTTAGTAACCATCTGTTTGTCACAGTTAAAAAGAAAAAGGAAAGATATAGAGAGGAATAGCCTGAGAGTGTGTGACCATCAAGCTGCGCTGTTAGCAAACCCGTCATGAATATTACTGTGAGCTGACAATACACACTGCCTATGGCTCGTTCAGGTGTAAGGGCACAGAGAGTTTTGTGTGCATGACAATAGTGGCTAGATTAATCTTGGATTTCCATTTGCACTATTTTTAGATGGTTACATTTTTGTGTAGGCAACTAGAGAATGAAAGAGATACATGAATGGACTTCATGCATCATGGTACCTGGGAAACAAATGAGGAAACATTGAAACCTACTTGAATTTTCCAACATGAGTGATTTTACATATGTTCTATCTTTTAATGTACTTGTAAGCTTTCATAGTACATAGGTTACCTTTTTATTGTACATCTAAAAAAATAGTAACTATTGCTTTCTTTGTCATGAAGTAATTTAGAAGAAAAGATGATTTTACTAAAACGAAAAATAAATGTGCCAGGTATTCTTTTTCCCGTCAGAAGTTTTCATTTCTATTCAAAGCCACGTTAATTCTGTTTTCTGCCTTAACCATAATTTTAATTCCCCATTTTCTTTACAACCATTTGTCGTAGGTTTTTCAAGTTCGTGATGTGGTGCACCCTAAATGCTGTACAACATTACCAGTAGAAATGTCTATTAGACTTACGTTGAAAATGCATTATTCTGCTTTTCACATCGTATGCCTTTGCAGGTTAACCCTTTCGTTTCTTCATAATAGAAGTACAATTGATTCAGCCCATTTGCAAATGCTAGCAACACAAGGCAGTATATGAATAGAAACTTCAAAATGTCCAGGAGCATTCTTCCCAGAGATATTTGCAGAGGTCCCAGGTGAGAATTTGCAGTAAACAATGAGATCAGACGCAGAGAACTGAAGATGTTTGCAATAGCAAATAAAGCCTCTGCCACCAGAGTGGGATGCCACATGTCCCATGATTCTCGTGGATTAAGGGCACTGTACTGGAGAAAACAGAGAAACAAAGGGAAAGTAAAACAAACACACGCATATAAATATATCAAGGTCAGAGTGCTTTTCCAGGTTGACCCAGCACAATCACCTACTGCCAGGAAGCTCATGTCATTTATGATGCTAGCAGTGATATTAATCCACACAAAAATAAGGGTTTACTAAATTATAACTTATGAACTGTAATCGAGTGGCCTCCAGGTCTGTCCTTATCAAGGGTAGTTTTTGTTAGCATGTTAATTACATGAGTCTTTTAATTTTCTAATAGAACTGTTTTTAAAAAGAAAAGGATAATGTTATATCCAGAAAAAGAAACCCTATCTGAGTTTATATCACGGAAAGGTATAAATATGACAGCAAAGAAAACTACATCATAAAGGAAAACTATTAAATTTTGAACAAAATAATTGATGACCTTGTTTATGATTTTTGAACACACTTGCCAATTTTGGAGAATACATGTAGGTTACAAATTACATATGAATGAGTAGATGTAGTGGTCTGTTGCTATGGAAACAGAAATAACCAACATGGGCAAAAACCATCAGTGCTTCCTTTCTGCTATGTCCTAAATGTAAATACAACCTAACTTAGAAATCATCCCAGAAGTCATTGAATTGCTAATTTTTTACATTTGATATGTAGGAAATATAACATTTATCTGAACATTCTTTAAGTATGTAAAATATGTGATTTGAGAAAAAAATTGGTACTTTAAACTTTGACAAGCAATTATTTAAGAAGCAAGCAGATTAATTAAAATGTCGGATTTGAATTATCCTGATATGGAAACATATAAAGAACAAAATAAAATTTAACTGTGTACTATCGAGGTAAATTTGTATCCTTTTAAAAAAGGGTCAAGTATGCTCTTTGAAATATTGTAGTATGAAAATCTGCGATTAAATCTGTATTTGAACTGAACAATAAATTATTTGCTTCCTACACATCACTGAAAAATATGTCTAGACAACCAAGGTATTTTTCCAATGGAAAGAAAGTTAGTGGAACTCTGAGTCCCATAGAATATTTTCATTCTTTTAATAACACATTTTACATCAAAGACCTTTACAGATGTGAATCAATTAATTCTCCTTGAAACTCATAGATAGTACTTTTTAAATCTCTCTGGGATAAAATGCATTATAGGCTCCTGATCTTATTCAGCACTCAGACTCTTGCTTGACTGGCAGTGTAAAACAATCAAGTTTGAACTAGAAGAAAATTATTTTCTATTTTTAAATCCCGATAAATGTTCTTGAACATTCCCACACATAGCTTCCGCATAAAATAGCTAATTACTGAAGATGTCGAAAAAAAGTTAAAATGTTTTTCTCATTCATTATGACAAATATCAGAGTGAAACTTGGATACTAAACACTACCTAATTCTCTCCTTTTAGTCTTGCTATGTATGATGTCACCTTTTCCTTTAAAGACCAACATCACATTTTCCTTCCTTTCCTCACTTCTCTCTTAAAAGACACACATATTGAAGTCCACAAATATTGACAGCTGTCCCCCTATGGTTGATAGTTAATGTTATCAACTATAGAATTAGCTCATAAATATTTATAGTTGATAAATATCCCGCTATGTTCATAGCTAATTCTATTTCTCTCTTTTTTTAACCGAATATAGCTTAGGACTACCTTTCAAAACACACAAAAATGAAACAAGAAGTATTCTTAAGAATGCAATCATTTTCTTGAACTTCTTACAACATTTAACATAATGCCCTGAATATCGTGGGTGCTCAAGAAATATTTTCTCCTGTCAAGTATTCATAGTCCAGTGAGGCTGACAAGCACAACTAATGGTAATAAAAATGCTCTAAGAGATTAACACAAAGTGCTGTGGGAATAGAGAAGAGGAAGTGATTAATTCTGTCTGGGGTGTCTGAGGCTAGGGATGGATAGAGATTACATGTTGTCAAAGATGCTGTACATTGCTCTAAGTTTCACATCCAGGTCAGCTGGATGTGGATCCACCATCACGTCATGACTGGGTCAAGCTCTGTTATGGACCTATTGTGAAAAGAGCCCTTCTTGGTAAATTATCTCAGCAAGACTCAAAAAAAAAGTTGTAAGAGCAAAGTTTTCCATTTTTACAGATTCTGCCCCAGTATGATTATTCAAGTTGATTTCAGAGTCTAGCACTTGTAGTCGTGGCCAGGAAACAAGGCTACAGGAATATATTCACTTTATGCAAGGTCAAGGCTTTAAGCAAACCATTGCTGGCATCTGGGTTAAAGGATGTTTGAATGGCAAACAACCTTTGGAAGTCAAAGATGGAGACCTCCTGAGAAACTTAGGATCATCTTCCTAGAAGCTATGTGCTTACACTCTCAGAATAATAAACCTAGGGACCTTTGCATCCCCAGAGACAATTTATTTACTTTAGAAAGTTAAAGAGTCTTTCTCTTTTCTTCTCCAGGGGAAAGGCAGGCAGCTGGCTCAGCTGCACGGTATGAGTTCTGAAACACATAATTTCCAAGCTCCTCTCCTGTGGTACAAACCCGTGTATACACAGGGTAAGTCTGGCTCTCATTAGGTCCCCCATTGGGGACTGGGGAATCAGGAACAAATGCTAAGTTTGCTATGTAAGTAAATAATTTATCTGTTCTCTGATCCAAAAAACCTCATTTCCTGTCAGGGATTAAGAGGTATAAGTATTAAGTAATTACATCCTGAATTTATTCTTTTTAAGTTTTGCTTTTTGAAATTTTTATCCTGTCCTTCACATATACATTTTCTTCAGTTTTTAACTATAATCATCATTTAATAAAGTGATTTTTATAATTCTTAAAACTGTACCATCCTTTGAATTTGTAAGGAATAATTGTAACTCTTCAATCAGTCAATGAATTTTCCATACCTATTATTAGGAATTAGAATATTGATTTGAATTTTAAAAAATTTCTTTGGCTCTGCTGGTTAAGAGCAATTCTACCCTCACTTTTCCTCTTTGCATGTTTGTCTTTGAGTGGCCTCTTCTCAGTCTCCTTTGGAAGTTCCTCGATCTCATCTGCCCCTTAAAAGTTGAGTTCATTTTTTGGCCGGGTGCAGTGGCTCATGCCCGTTGTCAGCACTTTGGGAGGCCGAGGCAGGTGGATCAGGAGGTCAGGAGATCGAGACCATCCTAGCCAGCATGGTGAAATCTCATCTCTACTAAAATAGAAAAAATTAGCCGGGTGTGATGGCACACATCTGCAGTCCCAGCTACTTGGGAGGGAGGCTGAGGGGGAATCGCCTGAACCCGGGAGACAGAAATTTCAGTGAGCTGAGATCATGCCACTGCACTCCAGCCTGGCATCAGAGCAAGACTCCATCTCAAAAAACAAACGAACAAACAAAAACACACAAACAAAGTTGAGCTCACTCTTTAAGCCTCCTCTCTTCTCATTCCACTCATTCTGCCTGTATGTTTTCCAGGATTTCAACTCTCAATGATTATTCTCAACTATACATCTCCAGCTGAGATTACATGGCTCTTTTCACAATAGGTCCATAACAGAGCTTGACCCAGTCATGACGTGATGGTGGATCCACATCCAGCTGACCTGGATGTGAAACTTAGAGTAATGTACAGCATCTTTGACAACATGTAATCTCACCTAACAGTCCTATTCTGCATTGTACTGTCTGGTTGACTTTTCCACTTCTATATCTCACAGACAACTCAAACTCACATACCAAAAGTGTAACTCATCACCTTTGCATCCTCAGACTCTTTCTCCATTTACCTCTTCTGATCTGGTGAATGGCAATAGGTCACCAAGTCAGAATTTGAGGTTCACCCTAGAATCTCTTATTCCCAAATCCCAGCATCATCTAAACCCAAATCTTACGTAGTAGGTTACTTCCTTCTTTTCATCAGTACCCTCACTATTTTAAAATAATACTTATTTCTCAGATATAACTATAGCACCTTCCTCATTGTTCTCCCCGCCTTACCTCCTCAATCATCTATGTATCTCCTCCAGAATCTTTTAAAGGAGTCAATCAGACCATGTCACATATGATTTAATATTCTTCAATCACAGCATTGTCCTTGAGATGACCTTCTGATTATTCAACATGCTACATAAAGCCTCTGTGTTTCTACATCTTTTAAAGATTTAACTGCCATTCGACTCTAATTAGACACATAATGTTTTGGCTCAAACTTTCAATACTGGCAATTCTTCAAATTAGTCACACATTCTTACCAAAATGCCTTTCCATGAGCATCGTACCTTTTTTTCTAGAATGAATTTAAGTTCCAATTATTTGTTATTTATTCATCAAGTATACATGAGTATGCCTGTTCTGTGTCAGGCACTATCTTCAGGGTTCACGGTAGTGATCAAGGAAGATGCCATATAGGCTTACAACATGGTGAAGTCATACATTAATCAAGCCATGCTAATCCTTTACTCTGACTGCTGATGAGTGGACACAAGGATCCTGCTGATCAGACTTGGCAGCTCCGTGCTATAAAGTCATCCTTGAGAAAGAAATCAAGAGCTACTCTAAACACACATAGGTTTTCCAGATCATTAATTCCTGTATTCCTCCTCTCAATTATTTGTTTTCAGTCTGTACCTACCCTAGTTTGGTTTTGTCTCAATTCTTCATTTCTATTCAGTTTTATTTTAAAGAGAATTGCTCATTTTGCAGATCTATATAAAAGAAAGGTACCTTTGGATTTCTTGTCAGATTCTTATGCAGGGAGGTTTGTCTAAGGCATTTTTAGGTGCTGGACATCTAGTAGAGTGCTTTATATGTAATAGGAACTCAAAAAGCACTCTAGGGAGAAGAATTATAGACATATTCAAAAGCAAAGTGGTTAGAGAATATGGATTATTTTTATAAATGTATCTTGACACAAATGTAACACAGAGGGCTTGGGAACAGTGAGATGAATATGAGAGGATGAGATGAGTTGGAGCCGAGTCATGAAGAGTTTACCAGAAGTGTTAAGAGAGAGAGATGAATTGAATCATAACATTG